CATGGATGTGGACAAGCAAGCAAACGTGGACTCACAAACATCGCAGACAACGTCGGGTTTCGGCATGCGGCCAAGGCTCACCTACGCAATGGCGCGGTCGTACCTAAAGGAAGACAACCCAGAGGATGATCTACTGATCTCGATGGATCTAGACGATGGCTTTGGGTCTCAGTCCCAGATGGATACCAGATCTGTATCCGAGGATGACCCCGAGCAGAACAGTCAAGCACAGGCTCAACAAATTCACGAGCTCAAGACACGGGGGCGTAACATGATCATCGGATATGAAATCGAAATGATGATCGGAGACATATCCGTTACCAACAGTAAGAGTATGAGGCGTAGCGCAATGATCGATCTGTGTACCAAGATGGCCGATGAGACATTCTGTCATCAGCTTGTCGACTCAGCTCTGGCCCATCAGTTCTTCCAGAACATCGCCGGCGGTCGCGAGATCATCTTCGACTTTGTCGCTGCTGTCGCCACAGTATTCATCCTCCGTACCAACCCTACCCACTCTGTCCTAGACGAGTTACAAGAGACCGGCAGTTTCGCTCACTTGATCGAGCTAGCCAGCAATGATGCGGATATCAAGGACATCGCTAAAGATCGCAAGTCGAACATGTCAAAGATTGCTAAGGAATCGGTAATCACGTTTCGCACCCTAGTCCAGCAAAGCTCTATCTGGTCATCCAACCTAGTACAGAAGGTATCTCCCCAGCTTGTCGCGCTGAAAGCTATCGAGCTACTCATCATTGGTATGCGGAAGGCTGGCAATGCTGATAAGCTACTTGATCAAACGATGATCTCCCAGCTCGTTGAGATTGCCTCGAAATCGAATGACCGGTTGCAATCGGGCAAGGAGGGAAGCGCGGACAAAGTATGCCTGGAAACAGTACTTTCCATACTCGAGTCAATTTCTGCCACGAGGCAAATCCAAGCCTCCTGGCCGACTGGTGTGCTTCAGCGGATTGCAGACTTTATGCCTCGGTTCTTCCAGCCTGACAGCGCTGCACTGACTATGCCCGCTGTCAAGCTATGCATGAACTTGACGAACAACAAGCCAAAAGCTTGCCAGCCGTTCTCAGCCATGGCTTTTGTGCAGCCGTTGACGCAATCCATCATTGGAAAGTTTGAGTCGATTAGTACGGGGCTAGCAACGGAAAAGCGGACAGAGGTTTTGGATAGTCTCATCTTAAGCTTGGGTGCTGCCATCAATCTTGCGGAGTTGAGCGACGAGATGAGGCTTAACGTCGCTGATCAGATTGACGCTCTGGTCGCCATCTTCCTGGAGGGATCAAAGCGTGCTTCACAGGTACGTATGCGTTTATCAGTCATGGTTTCAACAATGCTAACCCTGCTTTAGGCTGCTTCTGTGGAAGAATCGCATTCTGGTGTAGCCATTGGATATCTTGCCGTGCTCCTTGGTAATCTGAGTCTCAACGACCAGATAAGGGCAAAGGTCCGCACGCTGCTACCGAACAAGCGACTTGACACCCTTATCGATAGCATCAAGGAATTTGTCCGTGTGCACCAACACGTTGACCAGAAGGCAGGAAATCTTGAGGGGGCAGAGGGTCAAGAGGCTTTGCAGTCCTATACGGCGCGCCTCATGCTTGTCGTGGAACGGTTGCAGAATGCGAGCACTTGATGGTGCACAGATGCAGAGACTTGACTCCGGTATGCCGCCTGGGCATTGATTCATTACTGATCAGACGCACTTTGTCTTTACTTGATTAGCCCTCGGGTTGTTTACTATTGGGCAGCAAGTCATTTCCCTCTTCACAGGTGGCTTCTTATTGGTTAGGCCTTTCGTGGCTATGGCATGATACCCCGAATTACGCGTATGCGGTCATTGCTGGGAAGGGATCGCTTGTATTGTATATAAAGATTTCGATACCCCAGCATCTTGGACAGAGATGTGGATAGTAACGGTCGTGCAGCGAGGCTCTTCAGGCTAGCAAATGGCCCGTAGCAAATATATGAGAAACCTGCAAGCTTGTACTGATTGAGCGACATGTCGTCTATTCGTCGCCGCTATCCGCTCGTATTCCCATCGCGTAGGCAGTAGAGGCTAAATGAAGGCTTGTAACCTCGCACGTACCCGTCCGTAAGGCTGCACCCGACCCAGAAGGCCGGCTCAAGTGACGCAACAGCCGGCATGTGGAGTGGCTCTGCCGTCGGGGCAATTTGCGAGATGCCTTCTACAGAACTTCCATGCAGCGGGCGTGTAATATCCGGGCGAGCAACTTTTTTCACTTTTGCAACGACTTGCATGTGATGGTTTCGCCTTGAGTCAAGAACGCCCGACATCATTTCGGCTAAGTTGTATGCTCGGGGCGTCGGGAAGGGCAGCGATAGTTTCTGACATTTCGGAGGTTCTTGTGGCGCTGAGTGGTTGTAGGTGAATGGAGTATCTGCAGGTAGTGTGCTGGACAGGTTTGCGCTAGGCTCGAGGCGATTGGCAATACGTAAATGAATGCTTCGAGAAGCTCTGGATTCGTCGGCTACGGGGTGCACTGTTCGGCTTGGATGGCCAGAACTGCGGAACCCAATACCAGCTGCTCGGTGCCAAACCCAAAGCGATATATCATGGTTGCCCAACTTTCATATGCGGACGCGAGTCGTTGCTGCTATATCGAGATGGGAGCCGGCAGACATGACGGCATCAGCACCCGGTCGGGGACTTTTTTTCGTGAGCGACGGCTGCTCTTCACCTACAACTCTGGCACGACGCTCGCCGAAGTTTACCTCGATCGCATCCTCACGACAGTAGCTACAGCGCTCGGGCCAGTGAACCAGCTTGTTCGTGCCACACGCACCCATCACCTGCAGCTAGACGGCGTCATTCCGGGCTGGAAGCTAGCTCCTACAGGCAATTGGCAGGTCCGAAGCACCAAACGCAACCTAGGCAGCTACATCGCAGCGGTGGACTGAAACAGCCAAACCTCGAACCTGGCGAGTCGTTCAGCTTCCTCACGACCTCCTCCCAAACCCAGCAGCAAGATGGCGCCCCCTCCCAAGCAGAGAAAGGTGGCCATTGTCGGCAGCAGAGCCGTCGGTACGTGGTTGCCCGAAGCTCGCGCAGGCTTCACATGCAAGTACCAACAAACAGCATACTGACGCGAGGGTGCACAGGCAAGTCGAGTCTGACGGTGCAATTCGTCGACGGGCACTTTGTCGACAGCTACTACCCGACTATCGAGAACACTTTCAGCAAGATGATCAAGTATAAGACCCAGGACTATGCGACTGAGATCATCGATACGGCTGGCCAGGTACATGAGGTTTTCTTTTCCCCCGCGTCGCGAAGCTCAGCCCAGGTCGACGCCCCACCTGCGATGCTTCACGCGCGTCTCTGCTGAGCATGCCATGCCGTGCACCTCAAGCTGTTTGTGAGCACCCGCTGACTCGGGTACCGCCTCCCAGGATGAATACAGCATTCTCAACTCCAAGCACTTTATCGGCATTCATGGCTACATGATTGTCTACTCGGTTGCCAACAAGCAGAGCTTTGAGATGGCGCGCATCATTCGCGATAAGATCCTGAACCACCTTGTGAGTCTGACATGTGACACGCTCTGCGCCACTGCCTAACCACCCCTCACACTAGGCCGTCGAATGGGTCCCTCTCGTCATCGTAGGCAATAAGTCTGACCTGCGTCCCGAGCAACGCCAAGTCACGCCCGAAGACGGCAAAGCCCTCGCCGCCGAGTTCAAATGCGCCCACACCGAAGCCAGCGCGCGCTACAACGAGAACGTACAAAAGGCCTTTGAGCTTATGATTGCGGAGGTGGAGCGGTCCCAGAACCCTGGTGAGCCCGCTGGCGGGAGCAAATGTACAGTCATGTAATTCCAAGATTCTTGACTGACATGAGCGCGTGTACCAGTCGGCGTGGACAAATACCCGGCTCTCCAGAAGGAGCGCGAGGATAAGGCGGAGAAGCGGCGGAACAGTGCGCACATGCTCAAGCACCCGTTCGATCATCTCACGAACGCGCTCAAGAAGAAGTAAGAGGAGGTATACTTTTGTTTGGTTGTTGTAGATGGCATAGACGGTGGCTGACTTGTCGCGATGATTCTTTTACGCGTTCTGGGTTTTCACTATCCTCATGGAAGGCAATAGTGTGTAATGGCGTAATGGTGTGAGCGGCGGTGTAATAGGCGTTATTATCTGGTATTCTGGGGTTCAAGCTGTTTGTCAATGACGATATTTCACGGCTGTAGTACTACGTATCACTTTACGTTACTTTCAACAATAGACGGTATACGTTCATGTCAGCTTGAAGTTGTGTACATGAATGTTCGCGCGGAGTTCTGAAGGTCACGCTGGGCCCTGCATGTTCGACTCGACAGGCTTGCGATGCACCGACCACCACCCACCATTTCTACCCACAGACCTTACAGTATTAGGAAGCTCGAAGCTTTGACGGAAAAGCTACTGCTTTCAACGGCACTTCTGTCCAGCCTACTCGATTCGGCAGTTTGAGCTTTGATGCTCTGCAAGACGTGTTTTGCCTGCGATGCTTTCCTGTAAACCTGGGCTTGGGAGATATAATCCATCTACAACATGCACAAATGTAGTCACAACACCACTACATACGTCATTGACTCTACCTTCCAAATAAGGCAGTTTCGCATCCCGCCCATCGAGTGCAGCACTTTCAATTCCCGTGGTATCCCAGCCAAAGAGGAAAACGCCAAGCGTTCTGAACAGACTCGTCCTGATTCGCTCTAGTGCGGGTCGCTCAATCTAATCCCTGTCGCTGTTTGAGTAAGGTGCGGGACACTGATGAGTCCCGCGTTTTGAACATCTCTCGATACGAGTCTACTCACACCACACACGACGGAATTCTGCTTGTGATACGCAAGCCGAGAGACGGACAGGATGCTCGATATGTACGTTGCCTCTTTTTTTTTGCGCGAGGAGAGGGTGGGGGCTGCTTGGATGCGCACGCGCTGAAGTTGGGCTTGGAGGGGCTGGAATTGAGGGAGTAGACATGGAGAGGGCGAGATTGGAGGTTGCGTTTGGGGTATGAAGAGATATGGGCTGACATTCGCGTCTATACAGAAACGACTTCATCAAGGAGCGCGGCGGCGAGCCTGAGGTATGTATTCCCCGACTCGTTCTTGCGCGACATTGAATGTTATTCCCATGCTAATACTGCGGCCAGAAAATCCGCGAGTCCCAGAAGAAGCGATGCGCGCCCGTCGAGATTGTCGACGAGATCATCGCAGACTTTGAAGGCAAGAGCGACTTCAAAACTCTTGTCGGGAAGGTCACTGGAACTTACACTGGCTACAGACCACCGTCGCACACAATACGATGCCACCCAATTCGGCTCCAAGATAAACGCGGTCCAGAAGAGCATCGGCGCCAAGAAAAAGGCCAAGGAAGACGCCTCCGAGCTGCTCGAGGAGAAGAAGAAGCTGGAGGCCGAGAAGAAGGAGAAGGAGGCCGAGGCTGCGGAGAAGCTGGCCAAGCTGCTCACAAAGACGAAGACGGTCGGAAACTACGTGTACAAGGACGTTCCAGTCAGCGATAGCGAGGACAACAACGCGGTTCAGAAGACATGGGCTCCTGCGGACCGGAAAGCAGAGTTCAAGGCAGATGGCATCCCACATCACGGTGTACTTGCGCGGTTGAACGGATACGACCCGGAGAGAGGTACCAAGATTGTTGGGCACAGAGGATACTGCCTGACTGGATACGGTGTCTTCCTCAACCAAGCGCTCATCAACTACGGTCTTGAGTTCCTGGTAAGCGCACGAAGAGAAAACTTGCAAAGAACGCTATACTGACATGATCATTCCCCAGTTCAGCAAAGGCTTCACACCCAACCAACCGCCCTTCTTCATGCTCCGGGACCAGATGGCGAAGACCGCACAACTCTCCGATTTCGACGAGGAACTCTACAAGGTCACCGAGAGCAAGGACAAGCCAGAGACCGACAAGTACCTCATCGCCACCTCAGAACAACCCATCTCCGCCCTTCACTCCGAGGAGTGGCTACACGACAAGGAACTGCCCATAAAGTACGCCGGATACTCCACAAACTTCCGGAAAGAAGCAGGTTCACACGGCAAAGACGCATGGGGAATCTTCCGGATACACCAGTTCGAAAAGGTTGAGCAATTCCTCCTCACAAACCCCGAGAAGTCATGGGAAGCTTTCGACGAGATGCTAGCCAACTCTGAGGAGTTCTACCAGAGTCTAGGTCTGCCGTACCAGGTGGTCGCCATTGTCTCTGGTGCGCTGAACAACGCTGCTTCGATGAAGCGCGATCTTGAGGCCTGGTTCCCTGTTACGGGTGGTGGAGAGTACAAGGAGCTTGTTTCCATTTCCAACTGCACCGACTACCAGACGCGCGAGCTGGAGATTAGACATGGAATTAAGAAGTTGAACGCTACAAGGAAGGAGTACGTTCATGCGCTTAACGGTACTCGTAAGTTACTCCCGCACCCCATCTTCTCGCTTGAGAAGGGAATCAGGAAACTAATTTGTGTGCTACAGTGTGCGCGACTGAGCGAACTCTTTGCTGTATCCTTGAGAACTACCAGACACCCGAGGGCTTCGTCGTTCCGGAGGTGCTAAGGAAATACATTCCGGGTCAGCCTGACTTCTTGCCTTTTGTCAAGGAGTGGAGGGCGCCCAAGGAACCTATTCCTGACCGGACGAAGTAGGGGGTTATAGCGCTTGGTGGGGGTGCGAGGATGCATTGGCGAACAGCATCGTGCCGGGGGATTCAAAAAGAAAAACCGTACGTACGCTGAGTCATAGCCTCGGTGGGTGGTGAAATAGTTAGTGAAGGAAATCACGAGAGAGCAATTCTACCCATCGTAGAGCGTTGAGATGCGAATGTGATCTGAATGACACTCTACATCTTCAAAACGTCGCTGTTTAGACCCACATCCCTCCTCCCCGCCACCCTCCACCCAACCATCACCGCCTCATTCTCCCCCTGTATCCCCCTCATCCACAAGCCTATTCTCCCAACTCCCCAACCACCTCCACCCCCTACACACCCTATCCAGCTCTCCCAGCGCTTTATCCACATCCCCCGTATCAGTATCAGTCTTCCTCCCCTTGAACTCCACAAAGAAAACATAATGCCAATTCCTTACTCCACTCGGCCTCGTATTTATACTCGTCAGATTAATCCCATGACGTGAAAACACCGTCAGGCAATTCGCCAGCGCACCAGGATTCGAATGCTCGATGGTGAAGGTGATGAGTGATTTCCAGGTGTTTGCGCTATTAGAGCTGGTTGATGGCGTCGTAATAGTAGTTCTGGAATTCGGCGCGGTGGTCGTCTCTGCACCCCCATCATCGTCTTTCCGGCGTATGACGAAGAATCTCGTGCTATTCCCCTTCTTATCGTTGATCTCCTTGGCAAGGACGTCCAGTCCGAAGAGCTCCGCTGCGATTTCACTAGATAGTGCGGCGGACTCGCCGGTTTTATCTTGACTCGCGATTTCCGCGGCTTTGCTCGTGGAACTCACGTCGTGCCTCTCAGCCGTCTTGAGGTACTTATCCAGGAAGTTCTTACACTGGCCCCAGGCTTGCGGGTGCGAGTACAATTTCTTGATGTGCGAGAAATCGGTTCCATCTCTTCCATCCCTTCCATCTCCATCTCCATCTTGACTACCCGAAGCATTCGCATACCCCAACAAACAGTGCTTAACAGCCACATACGCCTCTCCCGTAACAAGAATATCAGGATACTTGTTATTCAGGTCGGCGAAAAGGTCGAGGGTAAAGACTACACTGCCGTTTGAGCTGTTTTCAAAGGGGACGACGCCGCGGTATGCGGTGCGGGATTGGACGGCGGAGAAGACGTCTTCGATTGTTATGGAGGGGGTGAGGGTTACGGGTGGGGTTGTTGGGGTGGTTGGGGGGAAGGCGGAGAGGGCGGCCTGTGGGGGTGGTGTTAGGATGGGGATGTGGGGATGGTAGTTTGAGCTTGGGTTCAATGAGGGATGAGGGAGAAAAGGGTGGCATGTTTTGTTTGTGACGAATGGAAGGATATATGGGAAAGTGGTTGTGACAAAAGACTGAACCAGTGACATTGTCTGTGCAAGATGTTGGCCAGATTTGAGTGGGGGAACTCAATCACCACTATCCTCCTTTTATGATTTGACTCACCTGATGTGTGTAGCTGCCCTCCGGACCTAGGAAGGCCACGATACGTTTCTCTTCTTCTGTCATGTTTGTGTGTGGCTTCTGAGATGTAGCGTATGTACACAGATAAATCACTGGATCTCGGAATGACGTCGGAACCCGGTATCGGCGCTAGTAAAAGCAAAGACTAACTTGTCATCCCCATGGGGCGTGTTGCGCCCTAATGTTCGTCTTGAGATTGATCGAAAGGGTGGGGCCATGTACAAAGCATAGAACGTCACGCGCATCACTAAGAACATTCAATCTCATTTTCAAATCAATTTTATATTCAGCTGGAGTAGAGCGAGCGACAAGCTGACGCATATTGGGCGAGCAATCTGCCTGTCCTTCTTCCGTAAAGGACTACTTTTCAAGAGGTTCGCAATCGACAATTGACGGTAGCCATCCTTCTGGATCCCTATGCTTTCTAGTCCTTATTGTAGCTAAGTTAGAGCTTCTCAGACCGAGGTTTGAAGAGGTCGAGCCTGTATGGGGCTGCTGCCTCTCCACGCAAGCGAGAGCGGGTCGTGGTAAGAATGGTGCTGGTCGACCTTGTAAAAATTAGTCCATGGTTGCTGGGGGACGGATACTAGTCGTACATTGCAAACCCTCCATAGGCACTCCCATCTTACAATCTGGAAAGGCGAAGTGTCGTTGCTTCGACTACTCCGGCCTTGATCTCGGACACGTCTTTTTGACTTTTCGCGCAGGTAGCGGACGTTCCGTCACTCGAAGCGAGTGGGGACGCTACCTCGCAGTCAGCGAGGGCGCACAACCGTCAATCATCGTAGAATTCATCTTCATCTTCGTCGAAGTCTTGCAGTTGCTCAAAGTTGAGCGCATAACGGAGGATGGCGCCGATACCACCAAAGCCCTTGACGAACTGGTTGCCCTCGGAAGAACGGTCGGAAACAAACTCCAGGTTGGCACCAAAGTCACGGTACTTCTCGGCGAGCCACTCAAGCATAGAGCCTTGGTCGATGACTTCCATCTCTTGGCCGGTTTCCTTGTCCATGAATATGCTTCGGTCCTCTTCTTGCTGCTTGGTCGTGTGGAGGATGATTTCCGCGCCCGCAGAGCTCTTGAGAACCCAGCGAGTGATCTCCAGGTTCTCAAAGACAATCAGAGTCTCAGCAGCACCAGCCTCCAGAGCCTTCAGGGTGTCGTCGATACCGTAGCAGACCTTGCCAGAGTCCTTGGAGATGTGGTCGAAGTACTCGTTGATGAGCTTCTTCTCCTGAATGAACTTGACGTTGCTGAGGGTCTCGCCAGCCAACTCGATGGCCTGGTTGAAACCGTTCTCGCCTCCGTAGGACACGTCGACGACCTTGATGACCTTGGACTGCAGACGGTTGTCGAAGAGATCGGACTGGTTGAGGTCGTTCTTGAAGTCGGCGGAACCAGCGAGAATGATACCGGCTACGTTGACCTTGTCGGCGGTGATGAAGTTCTGTACAGCCAGTTCGGCGACCTTGCGGACGTAGTTGTGGCGCTTTTCTTCACGGAGACGGGCGAAACGCAGAGCGGATTGACCACCACGGCCGTGCTTCTTGGGAAGATCGACGGAGAATCTGCAACGATCAGTGGCCTGTAGGCTAAGAGGTATCGGTCGCACTCACTTGTGGACAATCTCACGGGTGTTTCCAGACAGAGTGCCAAAGAGCGCACCGTTTCCGTCCATGATAATGAAGCCAAACTTTTGATCCGATTCTAGCAGCTCGCTCAGGGCCTCGGTATGGAATTTGTTGTCGCAAAGGTATAGCGACGTGTTGATTGGCTTGAAGGGCTCGAAGTCGATATTGATCTTGCGCTCCTTGCCTTCTGCGGTGATAATTTCACCGCAGTAGACAACGAGGCCATTGGGCGGGACCTTTGAGTAGAGCTTGAGACGCTGCTGGGTCGAGGTAATGGCCGACAGGACGGAGAGACGGTTGACGCGCGACTTGATGTTGGAGGCGGTACCCTGGAAAATTAGTGACGGCGCCGGCGCAGGGTGTCCTGGTACTCACGAATTCTTCAGCCAACATCTTCGCGGCACGTGAAACCTGATCCTTGGGCGCTACACATGGTCAGTCTGCGGCATTTTGCTAGGTCGTCAGGTGTCACCTACGGATGATGAGGGAAATCATGGATGTGCCATTTCCGCGGGCTGCTTCGAGACGCTTGATTAGCTTCTTGACCTTCCAGATCTCTATGTTCTTCTCGGCCTCATTGGGCTGCTCATTCTTCCCGGACGACATGGTCGCGGCGGTGGTGTCGAGGTGAGGTAGTGGTGTTGGTGGGGTCGAGAGATTTTCTTGTTCGGCGAGGGGCAAGAACAAGCGACGTAGCTGCCGACTGGCGGCGGGAGGAGGGTGGAGAGCGCGGCCTGTGACTGCTGCGCGCCTTGGCTACGTGAATGCGAAAGTGTTTAGAAGAGGCAAACGGCAGCCCACTCGGCTTATGTGAATTTATTTGTCCCTGACTGTGCCCGTAAGGCAGCACAGTCACGGTAGGGCAGTCGACTGGGCGCTGACAGAGGCTCGCTTGCACGGCCACTCAGCGGGCGGCGGGCATGGAGAGCAGCAGCAGCGCATGTGCAGTAACCCGTTATCAGCGCGTGCCTTGGGTAGCTCCGGCTGGGGGCAGCTATGACGGCAGACCGGCGGGGCCGCATGAATCCCTCGTGATAGCCATCTTGACTTTCTGCGTCTTTCTATGGCAGACGTGCCTCGCTCGGCGCTTCTTTATATAATCAGGACGGTCATGGATAGCGGCTATCACCCGCAATCCACCAGGCGCAATCTCATCCCGACGATAGCCAGCTATCGACTCAAGTAGCTCCCGCCTCCCTGCAGGGTTTGAATCAACAGTTTTAGACGATATATCGCCTGTCCTGCCCCATACGTTCTTCTTGGTCGCGCCTGCCCCATTCGTTGTGACGCCCTGACGTACTCACCATGGACAACAGAGGGAAGCAGCCATCCGCCTGGAGCGCCTACGACTCCAACCGCCCATCCATCGACTCGGACACGGAGAGCCATGTGCAGTGGGACGAGCTCTCGAGGCGGCCCAGTGGAGAGAGCAATGCCGGGAGGTGGACGGGCACCGCGGGAGAGCTGCGCAGGCGGAGGTGAGCATATCGCGCCACTCGCGTGTCACGACAGCTAACAGACGGCAGGTCTTCCGTAGGACAGCAGATTAGCGCGCTGGGCGAAGTTGGAGGCGTCAACAGCATAAACAACTTTGCGCGATCGTGGCAGCGTGCAGCCGGCTTCTTCGAGATCACCCCCGTGCGACCCTCCTTCCGCGTCGAGACAGACGACGAAGGGGACGACACAGAGGAGTCCGACTTCTCGCGCAGCGGACTGCCCACACCAGTACCCGACCAACGATCCGCACTGCGACAGGCCTTCCAGAACGAGGGACGACGCGCATCCGACAATGCCATCACAGACGAAGAGAATGGCGCGACCGAGCGGAGCCAGCTGCTGCCCAACGGCGTCGAACAGCGCCTGAGAGGGAGAGGGTCGAGCATCTTCCAGATCGAACCTTCGCTATCGTCACCCTTCGGCGCGAGCTATGGCACGGGATACGGCAGTCTGAGTTCGCGCGTCAACGAGTCGTCCATGCGCCATGCCGGCCGCCTCTTCACAGAGCAACAGATGAAGGGCGTTGGGGAGCCAGAACAAGAACGAGAGCCGCTCCTGGTCAAGCAGGTCGAGGAGGACGGACACATTATCAACGTAGTTGTTGGTCAATCCACCCTACCCCAGACAATCTTCAACTCCGTCAACGTCCTGGTTGGTGTTGGACTGCTCACATTGCCACTTGCGCTCAAGTACTCTGGATGGCTGATAGGCATGGTTTTCCTAGCGTGGTCTGCCATAGTAACCGGCTACACTGCAAAGCTACTTGCCAAGTGCCTTGATGTCGATGGTTCCCTCATCACCTTTGCTGATCTTGCGTACGTCTCTTTTGGAACGAAAGCGCGGGTAGCCACCAGTATTCTATTCTCTTTGGAGTTGCTAGCAGCATGCGTAGCACTGGTCGTGCTTTTCGCTGACAGCATGGACGCTCTTATCCCCGGTTGGGACGTTTTCCAATGGAAGATTGTCTGTGGGCTGATCTTGATACCATTGAGCTTCCTACCCCTCCGCTTTCTGTCATTCACATCTATTCTGGGTGTAATGTCTTGCTTCGGAAGTGAGTTCACAACTACATGCATCATATTCGTCAGCTGACATGGAATAGTTACCCTCGCTATCTGGGTCGATGGACTTGCCAAACCCGACGCTCCCGGCTCCATCCGCCAGCCCATGACTCAATACCTGTTCCCCGACAACTGGATGACCGTGCCACTCTCTATTGGCCTACTCATGTCTCCTTGGGGTGGCCACTCTGTTTTCCCGAACATATACCGCGACATGCGACACCCATACAAGTACAGGAAGGCCGTCAATGTCACCTACATCTTCACCTACTTGATCGATGTCGGTATGGCTTGCGCTGGTATCCTCATGTTCGGAGACGGTGTCAAAGAGGAAGTGACAAGCAACATCTTCCTCACCAAAGGCTTTCCTCAAGGCATCTCCGTTTTCATCGCCATCTGCATTGCCATCATTCCGTTGACCAAGATCCCGCTCAACGCACGCCCCATCGTCAGCACCTTGGAAGTCCTCTTCGGTCTGGACACGCGCTCTCTGGCCATGTCCTCGTCCATCGACGGCATGAGCGGACTCACTCGAGGAGCGCTCAAAATCACCCTTCGCATCGTTACCATCGTCATATTCGTTATCATCGCAATCGTATTTCCTTCCTTCGACCGCATCATGACACTTCTCGGCAGTGTCGCTTGCTTTAGCATTTGCATCATCCTACCCTTGGCGTTTCACTTGAAATTGTTTGGAAAAGAGATATCTAGTGGGGAGAAGACGATGAACTGGGTGTTGATTGTCGTCAGCACTATTATGGCTATCATCAGCACTGTTTTTGCATGCCTGCCCAAAGAGATGATTGGGGCTTAGGAACGAAAGTATGGAGATCATGACGATGTCGGAATGACAATA